GAGAAAATAGTTGTTGAGAACAGTAGATAAACATATTACTTGATTAGAAGTAAGAGAATGAAACAGTCAGATAATGAATGTGCAAAGGAAAAGGAAGGAGCATTGGAGGAGAGAAATAGAGGGATGGTCTTTCTTTGTTTATCTCCAGTGAGAAACAGACGGCCACATCCATTGTGCTGTGATAAGATGGGTTATCAGCAGTAAACAAGGCCTGGACCTGTATGAATGGAGCCCTTTGTGACTGAATACACTCTTAAAAACAGATTTGTTCAAATAAGTCTGCATGTCTGCAATAAGTCTCCTAGTCATGGCTCATACTGAAAACTCCTTTAAAACATGTTCAGTCATTCAATGAGAGCTGGATCAAGCATTCGTAGGGCTGCATGTTTCTCCAGATACTGTCGGAAGAATAACTTTCTTTAAGATGCACAACTGTTTGACAATGGAAAGGTCTGCTTCAAACTTCTTCACGCTTCTTCCATCAGCTATTCTCACTTTCATTCAATAGACTAAAATACTCTGAGACAGTGGGTGGAGGTATGCGCCTTGCTAGTTAGTTTGTGAATGCAATTCATCATTAAACACTAGGAAAAAGGAGACTACTCTTAATGGTTGATATGTGGCTATCTTTTAGCTGTAAGCTACTACGTAACAATGCTAATCCATCAACCATTGTGTTGACTTTTTGCTAGACCGAGTCAATCGTTTGTTTGCTTCCAAGGTAAATGGTCTGTACTTGTATACCTCTTAGTGGCATTTCAAAATGTAATGTCATTATTCACATCCATTCGTACAGCGATGACAGGAGCTACCAAACAGTGATACCTGCACATCGGTAACTAACATACATCGGAATAATTCAAAGAATTTACCTTCTAATGTCTATTTTTGATCACTTTTCCTTGACCTTTGTGAAAAATGCCACTGAGTCGAGGAAAGGTGGCTAGGAGAATACATTAGGAAAAGACGACTACAGTGCTTAGGGAATCCGACTCCACTTTCAGTAAGCTAAATAGTAATGATGTTGTTGTTGTTATGATGTTAGTCACGTCAGTCTGCAGCGACCAAACTACAATTTCTCCGAAGATGTACTACAAAGAAGCGCATCTTAGATGCTTTCGTCCATGTGTTGTTATAGTACCGAGTCATGCAGACGACATGAACAACCAGGTTCAAGTGTTACGGACTACTGGCTATGTTGGCCTTTTGCACCCCCCCCCCTCCCCCGACTACTGGCTATTTTCGGCCTTTGCACCCCCCCCTTTTTTTACACAAGGTTCCGGGTTATTTCACTCAATTGGGAACCTTCCTAAGCAAAAAGGACTATTCAAATCCAGCCATAATCTCTCCACCTAGTCATGGGTCTTTCCCAGGGCCTCTTCCCAGCTGGCGTGCCTGGAGAACCTCCCTATGGCGCCCATTCCGTTGAGCTCTTTTCCATTGTTTCTCAACCAGGACAAAATCCGCTGAGTAGTGAGATACCCCTGTAATTGGCCCACTCTCTGGTCTCTTTTGAAAAGAGGAACCACCAGCACGGTGTGCCACTCCTCTGGCACTATCCCAGACTTCCACGCAATGTTTAAGAGGTGTGTGATCCAAGACGGCCCCCCCAACACCCATTGCTTTCAGCATCTCTGGACGGATCTCATCAATCCCCGGGGATTTATCTACCTCAGTAACCAACTGTATGTCATATTCAAATACTCAGAGCATGTACTGAGCAGTCTTTTATAAAAAAAGGAAGGAAATGCCTTGTGCATTTACATTTTCAAGTCTTTGAACCTCATATAAACAGTGTTTCATTCAATAAACTAGCCTTGATAACACTCATGTCTCCTGTTCCCCCTTACAGGAGACACTTTGAGAGAGAAACCAATCGCCTGGCGTGTCAGTGGTTCCTCCCAGTAGTGGAAGGGCCTTTTAAGGCTAAAAAGGAAAAGTTAATTATGATAAAAGGGCTGTAAGGTTGTGTGGTTATCGCAGCGCTGAGCCTGCTGGTGTAGTAGACTGGTCCCTGACAGTGATAAGCAGGCCGAGCGAGGCGCCCAGCGCTCTGTCACTGTCACTCCACCTCTCTGCTCTGCTCAACATGGATCCACGCACCTCCACTGTTGGGCTTTTTCAAACGCATTCATTGGTCCTTTGATACCTGATACTGCATTCCATTTATCTTTTGATCTCTTGGAGCACAATTAGTATATAGTACAGGGGTCCCCAATAGATCGATTGCAATAGACCGGTCGATTGCCAAGGCAGTGTCGGTACATCGCCTGCCATTGAAAGAAATGCCGTTGGGTCACAATGTATACGCAGATGGCCGCGAGAGCTGACGGAAAACTTGGTTAAGCAATCCTTGCTTACCAATGACACAATAAATTTCCTTCAATGGCAGCCCCGCTTCTGACATATGAGAGGCTCTTTGTTTATTCTTACTGTAATGTTTGTGATGAGGCCGATAAATTAATAACTTCTTTGTTTGAATAAACATTCTGTCTCCCAACCCCTCCTCACCAAATTCCATCATTTCAAAATAAAAGCCTCAATGATTATCTGTACCTTAACGATGAATCTCAGAGTGAAGCGGTTTCGTTGAAATACGTATTCGTCTTTCAAATACTACTAACACATTAAAATAATTTCAGCTTTTTTTATGTCTGTATTAACAGCAGTGTTTTAATATTAATTTCTGTATTTTTTTGCAATTATTCAAATTTATTTCAGCTGTTTATTTCTGCTTTTTCAGCAAATCTATTGAAATTCCTTTCAGCTTCTCACATTTCTGTATTTTCAGCAATTTCAAATTAATTTCCGCTTTTCTAATATCAGTAATTTCAGCAAATGTATTAAAATTCCCTTCAACTTTCTGTATTTTCAGCAATTTTGTGATGTTCATTTCAGCTTTCAGCTTTTAGCATTCCAACGCATTTTCAGCAGGAAATGCATTTTCTAGTTTTATATCAATTCGTTTTGGGCTTACAGTATACAGCGTTGTTATTCCGTCTGGTCACCACTACTTCTCGTTAGTATCATTTATTTAGTAGTGTGGCGAGGAGACCGGCCGATGAAGGGGGTGAGGGGTCGATCGCAGACATTGCAGCACCAATTAAACCCTCTCAAATTTCAAGTATTTACCAGTCATACAAAGTCATGGATTAGGGCTACTCAAAGGTCTACAATATATAGTTAGAAGATAAACATGGACAAATGGGGAGTTGGGTGGAGGGGGCTCTGGGCAAATCCCACGCACTGCTATGTAGACGGCCATTTTCATTCATTGACGAAAAAACATTCTGATTATCACATTACACAACGGGCCTATGTGTGAGAGAACAAACTTTCTATTGTCTAAGTAACACTGACTAAGGTGAAACATTGTAGTTTTCCAAATGGCAAGTGCTATGACAACATCAGTCTGGCTAGTTTTCACCTCCATTTTGGGCCAACTCACACTACAGCAGATAGACAATGTTAAGCTAGATATAAAGGCAGCCAGATGGACATATCAGCTGTCAAGCCATGGGGCACATTAGTGGAAGTGAAGAGAATTAATGGGTACATCGTCCCCCTTGCTCCCCAATTTCTTCCCCCCATCTTTGATACATTATGGCTGTGCCTTGCTATCTTTCCTCTCCCAAACGTCTTTACTATTAGCATTGGCATCCTTGCACTCTCTATCTCCATCATATTTGCCTCTGGGAGAAATGTTGGAGCAAATAGTACTATTTAACAAATTAATAGAGAATAATAACAGTGAAAGAGATTACAACTTTTTTTTAAAGCCTTAACATTTGACTCGGTCTAGAAAACGGGCTATATTTCAACATATATCTTGTGGCAGCTCAGTAATATTCTTAAGTGGACTTCATTCTGAGCTGGCTTGTGCTCTTTCAGTTTTTCACAGTTGTTAACACAAATTCCTAATTAGCCAATCACAGGGCCGCAACTCAATGCATTTAGGCATGTAGACGTGGTGTTCAACAGCTCATGTGGGTTTTTGTGTTTCTCTAGACTGACGTAATCAGAGAGACTAAGATCCCAGCTGCTCTTTCTAACAAACTCCCTCCTCAGAAAGGGAATAGCTGTATTATGCATGTGAGGTTCAGTGTGATTTTGGTTTGTGGTGGGGCCCTGCCATCTGCTGGTAAAGCTCAATACTAAAGCCTAGTTTATGCTTCTGCGTTTTCAGAGCGACGCAGACGCAAGACCCCCTTGCGTGTTCCTTGCGTGCCTTTTCATACCTCCTTGCGAGCGTCGACCCATTTTTCTAGGCCTGCGTCGAAAGCGAAGCAAGCCCAAGGCTGGTCTGCTAACTACATACTTTACGGAGTCTCACATTTCCGTTTTCATAGTCCAATACCGCCATTATTAAAACGAAGAATGTTTACGAGAGAACGGATCAGATTGAAGAACTTTTGTCGGAAGAAATGCGTAAATATGACCACTTATACAAGCAGTCATTGGCGGGTTGTAGAAATGGGTTGGATTCATGGAGGGAGATCTCCCTCGGGATACAAGGACAAATACGGGACAAATGTGTCCGCGATGAAAAGCAGCAGTGTCGATGCACGGGGCAATAAAGTCTATGATAAATAATGTAAACAAACCAACGACTTCCACAAACAAAGACGTGACTCTCTAGGTTGTATTCGACTAAAACCTACAGTACTCCACCTATTGTTCTGGCGGTGAATTGCTCTGCAACACACGCAAGCCTTTTAGAACCATGAATTGAAACGAGTGCGTCGACGCAACGACGCAGAAACATGCGCCAGCCTTTACAAATGATAGAGCCAAACCGATAGCTTGCAGGCCTGTCTTGTAAATCTAGTAAAACCACGGTCCTCCTCCTCAGCCATTCACCACGAGGGATTTCTCTACACAAGTGACTACTACCAGGAGTATAAGAATACTGGCAGCTTTGTTTGGACCTGTTTTAAAGTAGATGTATGTACTTCAATCAGCTTAAACAACAGTTGGAAATAATACTGTGTGTCACTCACCACTTGGCGGACTCTGGTCTGATAATCAATGTGAAGCTCTTGGTGTTTCTGCAGGGTCGCTTCCAAGGATCTTTTCAGATCCAGCGCTCTCCTTAACAACTGCTGCTCAGCACCTGACTTGGTGAAGACCTGAACACGCGGACCGACATACAGGCAGAAAAGACAGAATCAAGGCTTTCCTCAACAACCGAGTAGTAAGAAAAGTAAAAAAAAACAAGCGTTTGGGCATTGCAGATGTTTGTACCAGAGCATTTATTTGTGCAATATAACTGGGATCCACAAGTGCAATTCCCATGGGGAAAAGCAGTACTAGCACCATTGGCAGTAGTACGAATAGTGGTGTAATGATGGCATTTGATTTAGAAACTCTAGGTTGTCTACTCATCTTGTGTACCATCTTCCACCCACAGTGTGTCTTTACTAACCTGAACCCAGCCCTGCACAGCTGCTAGATACTTGTTTGTTATTAGTTTATGGAGGTCTTTCACCGTGGAAACCACTGCCTCATTATCCTCCGTCTCCTTCACATGAAGACCTGTAGAAAGAAAGACAGCAAAAAGGGACATTTGATGATGAAGAGTTCAGACTGAACATTTCATTCCTAGTAAATAATGCCAGAATAGACATCCCAATGCCATATAATTAGCTAAGCTTTCAGATTTAATCATGTTTGCTAACATTCACCTTTTTTGTCATAGTTTTGTAGTTTGTATTCGAAATTACAAACAGCTTCATGGTATTACTGTACATGACAATCAGGTGTACCTCAGCCAGTGCATGTATTTTTTCAACAAAATGGATAGAAAATGACATAAAAATGTGCATCTCAACAGGCATTGGGGCTTTCAATTTTTTTGGTTTCTTATATTTTGGTTGTTTGGCTTAAGGCCGGCGCATGCTTCTGCGTCTTTACGCACCGTTGTTTCGACGCACTTGTTTCAATTCATGGTTCTAAAGGTCTTGCGTGTGTTGCAGAGCAATTCACCGCCAGAACAACAGGTGGACTAACGTGTTTTTGTCAAAGACGACCTAGAGAGTCACGTCTTTGTGTGTGTAAGTCGTTGGTTTATTTATTTATTTATCATTAGACTTTATTGCCCCGCGCATCGCCACTGATGCTTTTCATCACGGACACATTTGTCCCGTATTTGTCTCCACAACTTTGTTCCTCTCGACCGGCAAACCGACGTTTGTGGCGATCTCCCTCCATGAATCAGAGGCCATCCGCACGTCCCTATAGTCCGCCAATGACGGCTTGTAGAAGTGGTCATATTTACGCATTTCTTCCAACAAAAGCTCTCCAATCTGATCCGTTCTCTCGTAAACATTCTTCATTTTAATAATGGTGGTATTGTGCTATGAAAACGGAAATTTAAGACTCCGTAAAGGATGTACAGTTAGCAGACCAATCGCCGCCTTGTGCGCTGCTAAAAAAATGGGTCAACGCAAGCAAGCACGCAAGGTGGTGTGAAAAGGCACGCAAGGGGCACTTGCGTCTGCCTTTTCTTGCGTCGCTCTGAAAACGCAGAAGCATAAACTAGGCTTTAGGGTCACCGTTGGTGGTTGATGGTTGATAGGGCCAAAAAGAAAGTGTGTGTGATTAAATTAAAGAACTTTGACAGCATCTTTTGTGCTTGGGTACTACTTTGTAACATAGGCCATGGGATAGCGACTTGTTGTAGTAGTTATTAAATGACAACAAAAGGGTAAGATTATAGCGTATTGGTAGCATTAGTGTGTGAGTGGATGTGAGCTCCACCCACCAGGACTAAAGTTCAGATCCAGATTGTAGGCGTGAGAGATGATCCCAGAGTTCCGAATAAACAAGTCTTTGTCAAGAGACTCGCCATCTTCTTCTTCTTCTTCACTACTCGCTGCTTCTTCTTCATTCTTCCCCTCCCAATTGCCTTTCATTCCTTCTCTGCCTTCCTCCTTTTTTTGCATCATTCCTGCTCTCCGATAATCCTCCAGGTCTTTGCTGCAGCAGGGCTGTTCTTCAACTGATGGACATTCACTGGCTGGTTGGGAGCTGGGTGGGCTGCTATTGGTTTTCTGGATATCTATAAGGTCAAATTTGGGGAAAAGGAGGCTCATGCAGGATTCCATCTCTGTCATTGATGCCTGAATTTCCTGGTACGACTCTGACAGAGAAACAAAACATAAATGTCATGTTAAATCTTTTATTAATTTGGGAAACGAATGTCCATCCTTGATCTTCACAGAACCATTGCATTTTAGGGAGTACACTGGACTGCCCATTTGGTGTAGTTGAGTTGATGAAGAATCAGTTATTGTTGTTATTATTATCACTTGTTACAATAATTTTCTGACTGGTGTAGTGTTTACCCTCCATGTCTTTGGACGCTGCCTCCACTCTCTCCTTGTAGATTCGCTCCATTTTCCTCTGTCTTTCCTCCTCCCTCCTCCTCTCTGCCACTGTCCTGGACTCAGCACCCTGAAAGTCCACCTGACATGGATGACATGGATGCATCACACACAACATGTGAATCAATTTCAGAGATACCATTCAGGTAGATAAAAACAGTAGCACAGGGAAGGACTGACACTTAGCGGAGCAGCTTTATATCTTATAGTGCAGGGGTCAGGGGTTATATAGATAAACTTCACCAATCGCACATACTAAGCAGGCAACAAGTTTTTGGAAATGATGGAAGTCCCTTGTCATCTGCATGCCAAATAAGCTCGTCAGACATAGGCATAGGCACATCACCGCACAGCAAAACATGATTTTGATGCGTCATAAACAATAACCCAAACAGAAACCAGGTGATTGGAGTGTGAACTATTGATTGATGTTGCCTGTTTCTTATTTTAGCTTCTGGTTTCTTTACCTTTTACATCTGTTATGGTGTTTTTGTAAGTTGTATTATTGTGATGTTATCTGGATCCCTCTCACCTTCTTAACTTGTTTAAGAAAGTGGTAGCCCAATGCTAACTTTTTATAAGCTGCCCCATAAGAGGCATGCCATGATTGGACAGTCTGAATGGCCAGCGACCGGAGTTTTCTGGCTACTTCCTTAGGAGGGGGGAGGGGCTGCTCTGTGTCAGTCTCTACCGTCAACTCCAAGAATTCCTGCAGAAAGTGAGAGACAAATGGAAGAGAAGAACAGGTGATGGGAACATGACACACAGGAAGACCAATTGTAAAAGCCTACCTCACTCCACATATCTCACAGTTGACTAAAAATAGTTGACAAAAGCCCAAAATAACAGCAAAGTATGATCGGCTGACAGGTTTCACTGGCATAGAAACAGATAGACATGGTTGGTTGCACTTGCACCAAATATTGATGAACCAGTAGACAAGATGCTATGGTGTTCCATTTAAAGTCACTACTTGAGATGATCTGGTCTACATAGGCAGTACCTGAAAGTTGTCCACCAGCAGTGTTCTGAAGTGATGTGATCTTGAGAAGAGCTCACTGACAATCTGGAAGGCAGACAGTCGGACCTCAGCATGTTGTTGGTTAAGCTGAGAGATCACAGAGTGGTACACGTGGTCTATGCGGTCATTAGACACTCTGGGAGGAGCGAAAGACAGAACAGTTAGTCCGTACAGCATGTATGAACTTAATCATTCTAACTTTAACATGACTACAATGGTGGATTTAGGCAATTGTAAGTAAAGAAAGGTGACTTGTACATTATAATTGTCAGTACCACTGCCATGTTTTTTTGGCGGTAGTACTGAAGTTTTTCCTCTTAGTTACTTTAATCTTAAAGAATCTTATTTCTAGTCTCTAGTTTTTTCATTGAATATTCAAGACTTCTATCTCAGAGAATTGTCTTTGTTATTCCATGGAAATGTATGCTAAATCAATGCTGTGCAGTATATGTAATGTACAATGTTTCACTCACTATGGTAAACTATGGTGATATTTATTTTTTAACATCAAAGTATGCAGAGAAGAAGTGTAACGGCAGCCATAATTCAGAATTCAATACAGAGTTCTGAGAGGAGGAACCACTTGAAATCAAAGTGAAAACGTACATTATTTCTCTGGGTTTCAAGAAACACAATGCAATAGTAGTTAGCAACATACTTGCAGATATTCTTGATTTCCTTCATGCTCTCCTGGTCGAGCTGTGGTTCTCCAGATGTGGTAAGCTGCTCCACCAGCTCTGACAGCCTGTCCCTCTGAGACCACTCCATCACGATTCATTAACACACTTGTGGCCGGGGATATAATAGTGACTCAAGGCGGTTACCTAAAGAGACGCTCTACAGAAAAAACATTCGATCAGACAGAATACAAAACTATCTAAACATTAGCTAAACTGGAAAAGTGGGATATGAATGCTGGTAAATAAAAACATGTCATGGGAAGATGTGAACAGTAACAAAAACAGAATACGGATGGGTTTCTCTGAAAAAAAATGTATTAAATTCAGCACACTGCACCAATTTCACTGATGGTTAACTTATTAAAAACTGCAATGTAATATTAAAACACATACCTAAAGAGTATTTCATGCATTACAGAATGTCTCCTCCCATTAGAAAAATCTGAATTACAATTGTTCAAGTCAATGCTTAAAATCGGCTATATTAAAGTTACATTATACTATAATATAGTTGACGCTAGCTGTAACGTTATAAATAACCTCCCGACTCCCGCTGACATTTTCTAGCAATGTAACATTAGAAGTTGGGCTTAGCACCTATCCGTAGTAACGTTACATACATTGTACTAACGTTAGATTGTAATGTTCACCGATTGAGTATTCTTATTCAAACACAAGTGCATTAACGTTAGCATATAAACAAGTAGACCATTAACTACCGTTTGCTTACGTAGCCAGCTAACATTAACGCTAACGCTAGCTAACGTTACATCATATTAGAAAAACTACCTCCACAAGATGGCAGTTTGGACTCCATCAACGCCAGTATGATTCAGTTAGATACAACTAAAAGGACTATTGAAATGGATATAACATTGCGTTGAAGTGAATTGATAAGACAGTTTGTCAGTGTCGTAGCCCACCTTCCTGCGAGTAGCTCGATTGTATACGGTAACGTTACATTTCCCAGCTGTAGCTGCGAGGGTCCAAGGCAACTCGTACTCCGTTTATGACAAGTGACATTAAATTAAATGGACACTTTCGACGCGTTTTTGGCTGGATTCGAATAGTTAAATTTGCTTAAGATGGTTCCTAGCGGAGTGAATTGACCCAGAAGGCGTGTAAGTGGCCGCCACGATAAGAACTGTTCAAATGATCTAACGTTAATGCTAAGGAAAGGAGCTTCAATGCTTCCCGACTTTGCTGCTTTAGCATAGGGACCACTGTAGCATCCTTTGCGAAAGGAACGAAGATCAATACGTCCCACAATTCCTTGCGGCAGCAATAGTTAAATAGTGACGTATCATTCGGCCGTTCACGAGAATTGACGATTATGACCGAGGCCCTTTCTCAATACCTAGAGACGGACTTGCGTTCTCGGGAGAATAGACTCGGGAGTCCTGACTCACGGGTACGGGAGAACGGAGAACGGTCATTTCCGCAATTGGAACAGCAGCTGACTGATGACGTCACCACGTCACCTGGTCTTGCTAATGCATTTTAATACAGTTCTTGACGAAGTATTTTACTATCAAGCTTTTGTTTCGTTTTCATTTAAAATGAAAATTACATATTTATATCAGAGCACCAGAGTATATACATCAATAATGGAGCATAAAATCATTAGCCAAAATATCTCAATGGATGGGATCAATTGAATTAATTTGATTTTGTATAGCCCAAAATCGCCATTCCAAATTCCAGCTGTATACATACGACATCCTCTGCCCCGAAACCCACACATCGGCACAGGAAAAACTCCCCGAAAAATGAAAAAACCCTTCCAAGAGGGAAAAAAGGGAAGAAACCTTAGTGAGAACCTCAGAGGAGGGATCCCTCTCCCGGGATGGACAGACTACAATGGATGCCATGTGTACAGAATGAACAATGTATAATACATTCAATTCCTATGACAGAAATTATTCAAGTAATCAAGTGAGTAGTAAGCCAGGCGCACAGCAGGACCACTGCAGGGACAACCACCATCAGATAGAACCACCATCCACAGAGGCCTGTGGGGAGGGAAAGCACAAAGACTTTAGGAGAGGGTAATGTTGATTTATGATTTCAGTAATATGATTAATATTTAAAATAATAATAAGGATGATGGCAGCAGCAGCAGGTGTCAGCAGGGCCACGGCAGGTGTCAGGACCAGGGTCCAGAAGGACCTACGATCTATGGAGACCTGCTAGGGGAGAAAGCACAAAAAATCTCCGGGAAAGAAGCTGAATTAGTGCATTAATAAATTGTGAATTATTGTAGAAAGAGAGCGTGAGAGAGGAGCTTGGTGTGTCCTAAGAAGTCCCCCAGCAATCTAAGCCTATAGCAGCTTAACTATGGGCTGGTCCGGTCTAACCTGAGCCAGCCCTAACTATAAGCAAAATCAAAGAGGAAAGTTTTAAGCTTTATCTTAAATGAGCTGACTGAATCTCCCCCCCGGACTGAAAGTGGAAGCTGGTTCCACAAAAGAGGAGCTTGATAACTGAAGCCTCTGGCTCCCATCCTACTTTTTAAAACCCTAGGAGCAACAAGTAACCCAGCATCTATGGGGCGCAGCTGCCTTGTAGGGCATTACGGTGTTACAAGCTCTTTAAGATAAGACATTGCCTCACCAGCAAGAGCCTTGTAGGTGAGAAGTACCTTAAATTCTATTCTTGATTTAACAGGGAGCCAGTGCAGAGAAGTTAATACAGGAGTAATATGATCCCTTTTCTTAGTTCTTTTTAATACACGTGCTGCAGCATTCTGAATCAACTGGAGAGGCTTAAGAGATTTACGGTACAAGAGCAGCCTGATAACAAAGAATTACAGTAATCCAGTCTAGAAGTAACAAACGCATACATTAATTTTTCTGCATCACTTTGAGACAGGAAGTTCCTAATTTTTCAAATATTACGTAGATGAAAAAAGGGAGTCCTTTAAGTCTTCTTTATATGAGAGGTGAAGGACATATCCTGGTCGAAGAGAACACCAAGATTCTTGACAGTGCTACTGGATACCAGAGCAATTCCATCCATAAAAAGTGTATCACGTGACAGCTGGCTTCGAAGGCGCTCTGGGCCTATCAAGATAACCTATTTTTTCCTGAGTTTAGCATCAGGAAGTTGCCGGTCATCCAAGTTTTGATGTCTCCAAGACATTCTTGAAGTCTAAAAAGCTGGTTCGTCTCTTCTGGTTTGATCGACAAATACAGTTGAGTATCGTCTGCATAACAATGGAAGTTTATGCGGTGTTTCCTGATAAGATCGCCCAAAGGAAGCATATTGAAGGTAAATAAAATTGGTCCAAGTACAGAACCTTGTGGGACACCGTGACCAACATTGATGGTCTTCGAGGATTCACCGTTTACAAGCACAAACTGGGATCGATCCGATAAATAGGATTTAAACCAGCTGAGTGCAGTTCCTTTGATACAAATCAAATGTTCTGGTCTCTGCAACAGGATACATTGGTCTATGGCAGCGGTTCCCAAACTCAAGAATGCCGCGGCCCAATTTGAAATCTGAAAATCTTTTGCGGCCCACCCAAACCTTTAATCACAACTCTGATCAAAACATAAACTAGGGATGATTAAATGACCTTAAGAATTTAACCCATTAAAAATGTATTAACCGACAATATATGTTTTGTATACCATTTTCTCCGTAGCTCATATATATTTACTTTAATACTACAAGAGGGCGCCCCATTTGACATTTTTTTATTTGGCGGCGCCTTTTGTTGAATAACGACAGGCGGACAAGAGCAGCCGTTTTGAGCGAGAGCCTTATTGTTTTATTAAGTAGTATAAGTATTAAGTAAAATACAGAAATTTGCAACCCTAATGTTACGACCAGGTCTTAGAAGCAACAGGAAACAGCGAGACCACTATCCAACTTTGCGTTTGTTTTTTATTTGGGGCTGGGAGAACAGCTTCAGGAGCCAACAAGGCCAAAATAAAAAGCGAAACACCTCTTACTTTTAAAAGAAAACTAACTAACCTAAGCAAACAAAAAATAAAATCAATATACACCATTCTTCCCTAACTCCCTATATAAGAAAAACAGATGACAAAAAGAAATAAAATGTCGTCAAACTCCCTACTTTCCTGCACAATATATACAAGTGTTACAAATAGGTTTAATGTACAACTATATACAAAGAAAACAGATCCAAAGGGCCAAGGCAAGAATCAAGGCCGGAATAACACGCAATTTAAATCATAAATATTTTTGTATTAATTTCAAACTTTTCAAAATTGAAAATTAAAAATATTTTATTTGTTTATTGTAAATGACCTCTCGTGGCCCACCTGCAGTACCGTCGCGGCCCACACTTTGGGAATCGCTGGTCTATGGTCAAATCAAATGCAGCACTGAGGTCCAGCAAGACAAGAAAGGAGATGAGTCCTTGGTCCGATGCAAGTATAAGATCATTCTCAATTTTCACCAGTGATGTTTCTGTGCTATGATGCACTCGAAATCCTAACTGGAAAGTCACATAATTGATTTGCGATGGATTTCTCAAGGATCTTAGAGAGCAAGGGAAGATAGGTCTGTAGTTAGCCAACACCGCTGGAGCAAGAGGAGGTTTCTTAAGAAGAGGTTTAATTACAACTACCTTGAAGGACTGGGGTACATGTCCTGTCAACAAAGACAGATTCATAATATCTATTAAAGACGTGCTAACTAAAGGAAAAACTTAGTCGGAATCGGAACCAAGAGACAAGTAGAAGATTTAGACTTCAAAATTAAAGAAGTCAGTTGATCAAGGTTGATGGAAGAGAAGGCATCCAAACAGGCATCAGGGCCCACTGCTGCATCCAAGGTTCCTACATCTGAGGACAGGTCGGCACTGGTTGAAGGCAGGAGACCATCCATTTTCTTTTTGATAGTCAGAATCTTATCATTGAAGAAGTTCATGAAGTTGTTACTACTGAGGTTCAAAGGAATACACGGCTCGACAGAGCTGTGACTCTCTGTCAGTCTGGCTACAGTGCTGAAGAGAAACCTGGAGTTGTTTTATTTTTCTCTATTAATGATGAGTAATAAGATGCTCTTGCGTTACAGAGAGCCTTCTTATATGTTTTAAGGCTGTCTTGCCAAACTAACCTAGATCCTTCTGATTTGGTTCAAGTCTCCGCACAGTTTGCTTTCAGTTCCGTGTTTGAGGGTTATACCACGGAGCAAACTTCCTTCTTGTTGCTATTCTTCTTTCCAGCGGAGCAATAGCGTCCAGCGCCACTCTCAAAGAGCCTGTAGCAGCATCGACAAAATGATCGATCCGGGACGGACTGAAGTTCTCGCAAGAGTCTTCTTGTATCTTGAGACAGGGCACTGAACTTAGAGCAGAAGGAATAGATTCTTTAAATGAGGTTACAGCGGTATCCAATAAGTGTCGACTGTAGAATCCCTTGTGCAGGAGGAGGAGATTCCGGTAGTAGAAATTCAAAGGTTATCAGACTATGGTCCGACAGGAGAAGGTTCTGTGGAAAAATTGTTAAATGTTTGTTGGAAAAACTGCAAATAATGTGTGTCATGATATCAATAAGGCTGTGCTACCCTCAGCTGGCAGGCATCTTGTCAGAGATTAGGGGCGCCGGCCTCGGGAGGGACATTCCATCCCATGAGGGTAAACAATCAGTCCTCTGTATGTGCGTAACCATCCCTATGTTTTGATGCAATATCTGCAGTATATATTCCTGCTCCAAAGATGAAAACCTTTGAGCAGGCTTGGGGCATGACTTGTATGCGTGTCAACTATGTCTCCTGTTTGCGAACATTAAATAACCTGTTTTGATGATTTTACGCCAGTGTCGAGTGAGAATTTTTCTGTTCAATCCCAATCCCATACACAAACAATTCGAGAGTGTGGTTAAAACAGTGAGTTGGTTTATTTACTCTCTGACGGAAACCAATTGAATCTAACATTGAAAGAAATGCAGTACCAAGGTTGTCGTTGACATCCACATGAATGTTAAAATCACCCACAATAATTACCTTGTCCGTTTTAAGGACCAAACTCGTTAAGAACTGAAAATTCAGAAAGTAATCCTGAATTAGGACCTGGGGCTCTGTACACTATTACAAAGAGAACCGGCTGGATTATTTTCCAGGTCGGTTGCGAAAGACTGAAAACCAGGCTTAGTCAAGGCCAAGTTTATTAAAAGGCAGGAGTCATAAATAGCTGCCACTCCTCCCCCTCGGCCTGTGCCTCGGGGAATATGAGTATTAACATGACTCGGAGGAGTCTCTTCATTTAAGATGAAATATTCCCCATTCAACAACCACAACAACATGTTTCAGTAAGACAAAAAAAATCAGCATGGTGATCTGATATTAGTTAATTTACTAAAAACAGCTTTAGATGACAGATCTAATATTCAAAAGTCCTCCTTTGATTCTCCTATTTTGTTGCACTCTTGCATTATTAGCTTTAAGTTATTTAC